TCTACCATGGAGAAATATGTCTGCTACTGCGTCTAACATGACAACGGATGTCAATGGATGGCTCGTGTATCAAAGAGAAAGATGAATAACAACTTATGGGAACTAACCAGATACAACGGTCCTCATACGTGTTGTGCAAGAGGTATAAACCAAGATCATCCCAACTTGGACTCCAACATTATTTTCCAAGCAATCATGCCCATTGTGAAGCAAAGCTCTCATATAGCTTTTGCAGTGTTGATTTCTGTTATACAGTCACAATATGGGTACACCGTCTCCTATAAAAAGCTTGGTTGGCAAAACAGAATGCCATTTGCAAACTTCATGGCGAATGTGATTCCTCTTACAACGAGCTGCCCAGTTGGTTTCATGTTGTGCAAAGACTCAATTTCGGGATAATTGTTGAGTTCGAAACTCAACATCATTACGTGAATGATCGAGTGGTTCGCGATCGCTACCAATTATACCGTGTCTTTTGGACTTACCCTCAGTGTATTAATGCAGTCAAGTACTGTAAACCAGTTGTTCAAATTGATGGTACTTTCTTGTATGGGAAATACAAGCAATTTTTATTATTGGTTGTGGTCCAAAATGGAAACCGCAATATTCTTCTTGTTGTGTTTGCCCTCGTTCAAGGAGAAGACACTGAGTCCTGGGTTTTTTTCCTTAAAAATTTATGTTTACATGTTGTCACCAGGGAACGAGTATGCATTATTTCAGAACGAGGAGCCGGGATAAAAGAAGCAATGGAGTCTTTGGGTACAATGTATAGACCTCCACATGTTCAACATCGTTATTGTGTCTGTCATATTGCTGCAAACTATTACGGAAAATACAAGAAGAATGATGAACGTCAGTTAGTCGTGCGGATGGGTATGTTACTTTTTCTCAATTTTTCTATCATTTTCGTATTACTTATTTATACTTCATATTAACTATTACATATTCCTAATGGCTTAGGTTATGAACTCTTACCTCAAAGGTTTGAGTCTATGCTACAAGAGCTGTTTGACAAAAATAAGAAGGGGTGCGAGTACATTATGGACATCAACAAAGAAATGTGGACAAATGCGTATGACGGGGGGTATCGCTATGGTCATATGAAACCCAACTTGGCTGAAGCAATAAATTCAACCTTAAAAGGGGCACGTCATTTACCAGTCACGGCGTCGGTCAAAACGACTTATTTTCGTTTGGATCAACTCTTTGCAAAGCTCGGTGGACAAGCTCTTACTTGGATGCAAAACGACCATATTTACCACCCAAGACTAGTAGCTGATTTACAGAAAAAAAATGGCTGCATCAAATGAGATGTTGTTTACAAATTTTTCTCGCACCCGTGAATTGTTTCGTGTAACCGAAATGCCACGTCCGCTGCAAGGGATTGAAGCTAACTCTTTCAGAGTTAATCTGCAAGAGAGGTGGTGTGATTTTGGTTTCTTTCAAGCACTCAAATATCCATGCTCTCATGTCATTGCAGCTTGCTCACATTCGCATTTGGACTACAAAAAATTATGTTGATCCCGTATACCAACTTTCATAAGTATTCAAGGTATATGAATTTGAGTTTCTGCCCATAAGAAACGAAAGAGACTCAGATGAGATTCAAACTTGGCTTACAATTGTACCAGATCCATTGATTTTGAGGAACTCAGGTCGTCCAAAATCTAGAATACATTGTGATATGGATATTCGGGAGAAGTCAACAGAACTAAAACAACGTGGGCATTGTAGAAACATCGGGCACAATAGAAAAAATGACCAACTCTGTTATCATCACATAACCGTTAACCCTTATGTAATTAATATTCTATTTAAATGAATGTTTTTGTTTCTAATATTTAAATGTAATTGTATTTTCTATAATTTCTCAATGTATGTACACCTAAATAATTTTTTTTTAATTTTTATTTAAAAATTATTTTATGATATTTATTTAATATAATAATTAATATTATTTATTATAAAAAATTAATTATTAATTTTAAAATATTATAATAATTCCACCTTCTAAGTAGAGAAAAAAATGTTAAATTAAAGACTAAATTGATAAAATATGTAATTATTGAAGATTAAATGTGTAATTATACTAATTTTATTAACTTATGCATCAATATTTTCTTTAAATATTGATAACAAATGACTAGATTGATAACATTTAAATAATTAAGTGATAAAATAAATAGATCGATAATAATAAAAAATAATAGATATATAACAATACGTGTAATATTATAATTTCATACATTTTTCCTATAACTACAATAAGATCAAAGCTGGTTTTCATCTATTATTCCATCTGATTAATGTCGCGTGGAATGGGTGAATGCCAAACTCCCTGAAACATATAACACTAAAACCTAAATTCGTTCCACCTTTAACACACATTTAAAAAATACATTCGATAATTATTAAATTATAATCAAAATATTTTACATAATATATTAATTATTTATAATATTAATAAAAATAACATCTTTATTATTAAAAAAAATATCAGTGTGACATCTAATTTAACAAAATCCATATAAAACACATTCTCGGATATGCGCCTTTCACACGTGGCATCCGTCTCAGCATAAACTCAAGTAAAGCGCGTCTCCGGGAGATGCGCCTTTGTGCCACCTCAGTCGAAAGAATGTTACTTCGAAATATATCGATAAACGAGTGTTAGAACAGAAAAATTAAAAAAAAAAAACACGTCAGTTAGATCAAATCACACTTTTTCTTTCTATTACATCATTAGATTTATAAGCGACAGCCCTAGAGTTTGGTAAGATAGATGAAATCTCGAGATTATCCCTACTTTTTAATATAAAATATCTTACCATGTAGGGCAAAAAATGAACAGAGGCTTTTGTTATATCATTTCTTACTATGTATGGTATAAATTATTGGAAGAAGACAAGGTCGATACTTTTTATGCTACAAGAATTAAACTGAATTACTAATTTTAACGGAAAAACACAAAGTAAAGTTTGATTATTTTTGTATATTCTAAATAGATATGGTATTGATACTTTGAAGATTAAATTAAAACATTAAAGTAGTTTGATGTAACAAAAACTTTTAAACTGTAACAGTAATGATTTGGATAGACGAAGTGATGGATGCTTTCACCTCTCTACCATTTTCACATTAAAGCAGCGCCAGATAGAGAAATTCTCACGCGTGGAAAGACTATATTAATTTTATTATGTTTTTAATAAAATCGATAAAAAGTTATCGAAAATATTATTATTTTTATTGATTTTGTTATTATTGGACGTTTTATCGGTTTTATTAACATATTCTGTAAAGTATTACCGGTTTTATTATTTTTCTATCAATTTTATTATTATTGGGCATTTTACCGGAAATATTAAAAAACATTAATGTTTTATGTAGAAATAATAATGTTTTAAGTAATTTGTTACTAATTTTATTAAAAAATAATAACAAAACCAATAATAACTTTCTTTAACTGTATATTAAAATTGTTGCACGGTAGAATTTCCCCGCACACGGCCTGCCCAACACCACACATTATTGCCATTCACTATACCAAGCATGCATTTTAATCTCTTTTCCACCAAAACAATCATTTACTTCGATTACTAAGTTATATATAAATATATACGGATAAGATTTTATATTCATTAGATTTAAATAAATTATTTATATTTAATTAAAATTTATTATTTATAAATAAATATATTTTAATTAATAGTAAAATAATATATATTTTCACTTCAATCTCAAATCCTAAATCTTAAACTTTAAACCATAAATCTTAAGTCATAAACTATAAGCTCCAAACGTTAAACCCTAAACCCTAACTTTAAATAGAAAATAAATATTCGTGTGGGAATTATGGTTTGCGTCAATTTGTGCTTGAGTTATATAGTTTGGAGGCTATTCAGGTATTGGAGAATGACTACAAGGGGACTCACTTCCTGAAACGGTAATTGGACGATCTCTGATACTGTAATTGGTCTGTTCTTGTACAGTATACCCCTCGTAAGGGAAATAAAGTGGTTGATGCATTGACAAAGCACGTTCGAAGTAACTCTTTAGTGAATGTCTCCTCCTTGAACTGCCTTTGTGGTTCATTCCCTGCTACATGCGAATATAGGTCGTAGATAATTTGGTGTTGGCTCTGCTTTCAGTTGTCTGTTCTGATATTTGTATTTTTCCTCTATATAGATTAAGAAAAATTTTAGTAAGACCTATACGTATATCTTTTCGTGTAAGATTCTTCTCATTAATCACGCACGCACGTGTATGTAAAGTAACATAATGTTTATAAAAACAAATCATATGTATATTTTTGACATTTTTACCTAAATATCATCCAATTAAAAATATTTTTACAAAAATATCTTTGAAAATACATCTTACCGGATGTATTTTTCTGCCCATGTGACGATAATATAAGCAGATATTATAATTGTATCTAAAAAAATAAACATGCATGATACGTATTAAGACATATAATTATAAAAATATGGGCCAAGCCGAAACTACAACATGCGTGATGCCTGTTGAAGACATGTAATTACATAAGTATAAACTAAGTGACAACTAAGCGGCAACGACAACACGTGTGTATTAGCTTTATATTTAATCATTCAATAAATATATAGTAAAAGGTTATATTTACTTAATGTGGGTTATACATAATCTTTTAAACAAATATTTTTCGAGTAATTGAATATAAGACTACCACGTTGTTGTGCAACATATGCTCGTATAATTATTTATCTTTAACAAACATCATATGTGTTGTGTTTATTCTTTGTAGATAAAATTTATATAATTTAAAAGTCAGAATGAGAAATAATTTTTAAATGAGTGATATTGAGATTAAAAAACAATATTTTAGTAGAAAAGTATGGTTTTTGGCTTTCCAAAATATAATCAGCAGCTCCAAGAACATGGTCCAGACTTTTACATCTTTTCAGCGACCAAAACTTCATAATCTCTTTGCCACAATATCAGATATGGAGTTTTGTTTAATAAAAAAACCAACCGAAACAACATATCATCTATACCCTAAACCCTCCAATATGAAAAACCATTAATAAAAAATCTAAGAACAGTATTGATCACTCTTTTTATATAGAACCATAATCTCTAGCTCAAGCCCTCCACTTCGGATCGCATCGTACACGTTTGATTAGGCATCTGTGTCGGCACAACTTCCGTCGATATGCCTGTTAACTTGCTCTGTCCATCGTTGAAGCCCATAAGGTCACTCTTTGAATTAGGAGTAGCTCCTTGAGACATTCTCTGGTCTGTTGCTGCACGGCTTGGTATCCAAACGCAGTTGTTCTCGAGACCACTCTTTATCCATGCAATATTGTTCAAATCAGTTGCTATGGAAATTAATTCGTGACTTGAAAACATAGGGGGCTCCTCGTAGTCGATGAACTCCGGCCCCAACAATGAACTTTGAGAATGACTCCCACAAGTAGTTGAGCAGCAACCAAATCCACATCGCAAGGGAATGACGGGTTCACAGCGTAGATCTTCCAGGATTTTCCCGACTCCCTGGTTTTGCATGTACGATTGAGCCAAAGGCCCTTGCATTGGGATTCTATTTGTCATTCCAGATTCAGTTTTAGAACTGCTAGGAGCATTATAATGGCTGAAAGCACTAACACGGGCAATTGGACGACAAAGGGTAGGATGGTCCTTTGGCTCGACGGCAATTTGATCCTCTGGTGTTGGAGGTTTGTCTTCTTGAGAGTTCGGTCTATCGTCCATCACCACATCTCTTCCTTCTAAAGGCTTGAAGGGGTTTATACCTCCAACTGAAAGTGTTTCTTCTGAGGAAGCTTTCGTTCTATCAAGGCTTCCATCTTCCATTGTGTCGGCTGGTCCGGGTTTAAACCTACCTAGTTCCATGCATCGGCGACGTAACGTAGAATTCCAATGGTTCTTAATTGCATTATCAGTTCTACCCGGCAAAAGCTTCGCTATTGAAGCCCATTTGTTGCCATGGATTGCATGAGCTGAAATTATGATTCGGTCCTCTTCATCTGCAGAGGTTTGCATAATAGATTTTTCCGGTGAGTTCCCATATAAGAAAATATTCATTTGTTTGACATATTTTCTCAGCAGCATAAAGAAAACAAAATTGAGTTCTCTGACTCACTTCGAAAAGAAACTCAAGTTTCGTGATGCAAAGACTAACTCAGACCAGTGGAAAAGAACAAAAAATGAAAAAGAAAAGGAGAGACACCACAATCCCTTCAAAAGATTTGCATACAACTGTTTGAAATTTAAAACTTCATACATCTTTGACAACAAACATTATACGACTCAACCAAGAAACAGATTCAATAATCCGACATTGGGATTATGGAGTGTTCCTTAAAGTTCAACAGCTAAACAAAACAAGCCCAACTCAACAGTCTTATATTTTTGCTCTATGCAATGATTTATACTTACTCTCTCGCTAAGATCTAGGCAAATATGCATTGTTCTAAGCATACCACAGGGTCACAAAAAAATGAACAGGCGTTCCGACTTACATCCCCACTATCCGGAAATAATTTACAAACAAAACAAAACTTATGTCCTAAATGTACATATTACCCTCAATAACCCTGAACATTCTTTCGTGCGAATAAGGGTGAAAGTGATCATTTCAGTTTCAACTCACTTCCAATGGATCCCAAATACGTGCATTACACATAAGAAGGAAAAGGTATTGCAGTTGAACTCAAAAGACCTTCAAACAACAAGACAAGAACATCAATCGTGTTCTACAAAGTAGGGATCGTCCCACATATAGACACCAATTTCCTGAACTAATTCTAGTCGATAAGACACCGGTTTCCACTAACCACCCAAAGCTATCACACTCTAGAACTTACTTTTATTTCAAAGAAACAAAGAAACAACCTTTGCAACACAACGCAACAAACAGAGTACTAAATTTGGAACATTAGGAAACAGAGGCAAACTCTAACAAAACTAAGAATAGTTGCAGCATTTTTAAAAACCAACTGAAAACCAAACATAATCGGATGAATCAACACTAATCCAAATTTAAAACAGAAAGAAAAACACAATTTTTTTGCCTATCTAAAACAACCAAAAGAAAAAAAAAATCACACATTGACTTGACTTCCAACATTCCAACCAACAGAAACACAGAAAATAACAACTACCCATTTTAAAACAGAAAAATCTAAACGAAGAAAAAAAGGAAAAATAAACAAAATTACCGGTAAAAGGCTTGCGCTTAAGACAAGGGTCAAGCTGGTTACACCAACGAAGCCGACAGGATTTCCCAGACCGACCAGGAATTCCTCGCGCGATCAAACTCCAATTCCTCGCCCCGAACTTCTCAACTAACCGACTCAACACCGCGTCTTCCTCCGGCGACCATGGCCCTTTCACTCTAGTGTTACTCCCACCAACACCGCCCCCGCCAGCAAGCTCCGAATCAGCCGCAATAAGCTCCAACTCATCCCCACCGCTTCCAGAACCACTTCTCCCCGCCGCCGGCGAGTCCTTGCGGTTGATCTCTTTTCCATCCTCCATCTTTTGGGGGTTTTCAGTTTTTTTTTCGCCTTTATTGTTACCTACCACCCGACTGTTATGTCCCTTCTCTTCCCGCTTCAAAACGGTGAGGGTTTTTTTAATCTTATCGGTGTCGTTTTGACTTTGGTTGATTTCTGTTTAAGTGGGGCCCGGTGTGTCGTTGTCAATGACGTTCTAACCCTTCAACTTCGTGCTTATGGTAATGGGTCTTTTGTTATAAAAATCGACGGAGGTTAGGGGTTCTTTCGGTAATTGGCATTCAGTTATTTTGGTGGGCCACACCGCATAGGAATCCGCCTTCAGTTTTTCTTCCGAAGTTGAATAAAAGTAGACCTTGGTCTATACAACTACGTTTTTACCCTTTATTTTGGGTATTGAGTTTCAAAATTGGGCTATGGCCTAACCTATAAAGTATATAATTGGGCCTATTATATTTACAAGTGGCCCACAATTGCCCAAAGAAGAGTTAATTGCATAAAAAGGTTCCTAATCTATGACCTATATTCTAAATTAGTCCCTAGACTTTAAAGCATTATATATCAGTCTCACTCACATTCTAAATTGGTCCATAAAATTTAATATTTATATCAATCCTCAAAATATTGATATTATTTCATTTTGATCCTTCTATTAGCATGTCGTTAATTCTATTGGTTTTTGAAGGTCTTGATAATTGAACTTGTGACCTTTTAAAAAATTAATATGTTTTTGAAGGTCTTGAAATTTTTTTAGTAGGTTATATGTTCAATTCCCAAGACTTTCAAAGATATAGATTAACTAGTAGAATTAATGACAAATGAACAAAAAGATCAAAATGAAATGATAATGGTAGTTTGAGGATTTATATAAAATATTTAAAATATCATCACAGTCTATACATTCTAATTAACATCTAATTAGAATATATCTAGAGAGAACTCATTAATAATGTGATTTAAATCACAATAAAATTTAGAGATAATCCACATATGATTTACACAAGATAAAAAACCGAATCAGGATATTCAATTATCAGGTTAGATTAAATTATTTATAATTATAAAGGCTACAATAAGCTTAATATCAATACTTTTTCCCTTGATGGTTGGTTAAATCAAACTTTCAAATTTATTTTTTTGTTAGGAACCAACCGATTGCATTCCTAATTTCATTGGGTCATATGGCCCTCCAAATGAGGAGTTAACAATTTTGTATCCTCTGGCAAGGGACCCTCCTTTAACCCTTTTTGCACCTTCTCCTTCCTTTTCCCTACCTTAGACCAAAAATATTGGTTAAAAATACTATTAAAGTACCCTTAAAATGAAAAGAAAGTAAGAAGGAACCAATGTTCATAGTAATGATGATTCCAACACCCAAGAAATCCAGAAAACTTTATATTATATACTACCAAATCAATAATAGAATGGACCCTAATGTAACACTTTTAATGATGAGTAGTATTCTCCCACATCGATTAAAAACATTGAATTTTTGTATGATTAAGTTGACTTATAATCATGGGAAGCATGATCAATCCACTTCATTTTACTACATTCCCTTTGATCAAGCTTCGAGGTCTCTTCATTATCTGTAATCTCACCTTTATGTCAACATGTCCTCCCAATTTCACAATCTTGGAATCATGGGCTAGTGTATATGATTAGATTTATTAATTAGGTTAGTCAAATTGATTTTGGGTTAACTTTGGGATTTAGTCGTTTTAGAGTTAGATTATTTAGGTTTTAAGATTGAGTTTTTCAGGTTTAAACAATTTTAAGTGTAGATCAAATTGATTTTGAGGTTTGATTATTAAACAAGACCAAAGTCAAGATGAGACTCTTAAGGGTAAATATAAATGGAAATAAAATGATGATTATATATATACCAAACAACCGGTTGATTAAGTGAGATGAGATACTAAATCCTTTAAGCAATGTCAGAGAATCAAATCTTGGTGATTACGAATGGAGTGAATTGGGTTGGGAGAGTTGCTCTTGCCTTTGTATTATCCGATCCGGATTAGTCGATTAATTAATTGAAAACCGGTGATTTATAAAAAAAAGATGATAATCATATTAAATTCATCAAGTAGTCTTAATGACAAAAATAAATGTTTTTCTCTTCTAAAAGATTTTTAGATTTAAGCAGCTGAGTGTTTAGGGTGTAATTAGACTTTTTGAAAAATAACATTAATAATTTCATATATTTAAACTTATAAAAACATAGAATATTTTAAATATATATATATTTTGATAATTTTTGCCATAATTAAAACATTTTTTTACTAAGAAAGAGATTCCTTTATCATATCAAGAATTAACACCCGTCAGTGACCTGGTGGCTATAACTAACAGAATGAACTGATTCATCCTATAGTGTTTCTTTTTTAGTATTATAATAATTGAGATAAAATTGATTGTTTTTAAAAAGAAATAACCTAATGATATATGAGAGAGATGATCTAAGCTGTGAAAAGAACAAGTTCCAAAATCAGCTGCAATGATCGCGCAAAGGCAGACATGACAGATGATGAAACCAAACTATAGCATTGTTGTGAAATGTTTTTTTTTCTTTCTTTTTTTAACTTTTGTCTGAAAGATGGAGATTGCAACAGGCTTTGCCTTTACAGATTTCTGTTTCGAACCACAAAGAAGAAAAAAGGGTGAACATTTTTTTAAAGAATGTTTGTTCTTCTGTCATTTTAAATGCCGAGAATCAATTATTGAATCTTTTCAAAGAAACCCATTATTTAGTTTACAATAAGATCCAAAAATATATAGGAATTGTTTATTATAGTTGACAGATGATGAGAGATGGATATGAGATTAATATTTGACGAGTTTTAATTCGATCGAATCCGATTTTATAGGGATGGTATTTTAATTAAAAATATATAGGATAAATGCTCATTTATGTTAGAAATCAAACATGATTTTTTGAATCATGGATGTCCGCAATACTAAGGCGGGAACAACTAGACAACGTGGCAAGTTACCATAACAATGTGGCTGGAAACTTCATGAAATTCTTGGTAATTAAGAAAATAATAATATCATGTGTTAAAAAATAACAATTATCTAACATGTGCAGTTGGAGATGAAATGTTGTCATGTCAGCAAAGATGAAGTGGCAACAGCTTATAACACAAATTGAGGCGGCAAAACTTGGTGTTCAAGGAAAAAGATAACAACAAATCATGGCCACAATTCCATAGAAATTAGGCAGTTATCTACCATTATATATATGTGCCATTAGCTTTAATTGTGGATGTATGAGTGAGTAGCAAAGAAAATCGACAGATAATGAGTAAAGCTTAACAAAGCTTTGAAAGTTTGTGTTTGTAAACTAACTAAAACTAGTGTTTGTACTTGTGTATTTTCGTATCAATAAAATCGTGTGAGTTATATAAGTTATCGACTGCCCACCTACGCTTTCAACAAGTGATATCAAAGTTTGGTTTGAATTTACGTAGTTGTGAAGATGTCTAATATGATCCAACTGCAAATCCCGAGATTGACAAAGTCAAATTATGGAAACCGGAACATTCAAATGAAGGCGCTACTTGATTCCTAAGATTATTGGGATATTGTCGAAGAAGGTTACACCAAGCCCGAGAATGTAGTAGTAGAAGCAACCATGTCAAATGAAGAGAAGATGACACTGAAAAAATCAAGTAAAAAAGACAAGAAGGCATTGTTTATCATTTTCAAAGAGTGAGTGAATCTACATTTGAAACAATTTCAGACGCAAAGAACGCAAAACAAGCGTGAGAGATTTTGTAAAAATCTCTTCAAGGTGCCAAAAAAAGCGAAAATGGTACGTTTACAATTGCTTAGAGTTGAACTTGAAATGTTGAAAATGAAAAATACAGAAAGCATAGATGATTATGTTAGCCATGTAAAAGCAATAGTAAACGAAATGAAAAGGAATGGAGAAATACTCAAAGAAGTTAGAGTGATGGAAAAAAAATTGTTGTCGCTGAAATAAAAATTGATTATGTGGTCGTGGCAACCTAAGAATCAAAAGATTTGTCTCAAATATGATTGATGAGCTTGTGGATTCACTCCAAGCCCATGAGTATAAGATGAAGCAAAATAAAGATTCTGAAAATTTAGTACAAGCATTGTAAAACAATATGAATGTCAACAAAAGAGAAGCTAACAGTAACTACACACAAGGTAGAAGAAATCGTGGTGATTATAGTGGAAGATTTAGAGGTGGACGTGGAGCATGTAGGTGTGGTAGTCAATCATATGACACCACTCAAACAAATGAAAACAACCATAAATCAAGTCATGGAAGAGGATTTAGAGGCCAAGGTCGAGGTCGAGGCCGAGGCAGATATCAACAGGGAAATAAATCTCATATACAATGCTTTAAATGCAATAAATATGGTCACTATAGTTACGAGTGTAGATCAACTCCTAAACAAGAAATAAATAATATAGTAGCAGTTAAAGAAAATGTTGAAAAATCCTATATTTTCCTGATTCATAAATAAAATGGAGAATTCAAGAAAAATATTTGGTATCTCGACAATTGTGCCAACAACCACATGTGTGGTCGAATGGAGTTGCTCATGAAGTTAGATGAAATAGTCCATGGTCAAGTAACCTTTGGAGATGAATTGCACGCAAAAGTCAAAGGCAAAGGTGAAGTCGTGATTACTTAAAAAAATGATGAAAAGAAATACATCTCAAATGTATATTATGTACCAACTTTGAAAAGTAATATCGTCAGCCTTGGTTAACTCCTGGAAAAAGGATACGAAGTGCAGATGAAGAATTGCTCACTTTCCATCAAAAATAAAGGAGAATTAATTTTCAAAGTCGACATGACTCGAAATCATCTCTTTACCATCAATATCAAGTCGGGAGAAGTCAAGTGCATGAAGATGGTAATAAAATATAATTCATGGTTTTGCATCTTGGTTTCTCAGGCCTGAAGTTGTTATCTAAGGAAAATATGATAAAAGGACTGTCAGATATCAATATTCCAAATCAACTATGTGAGGCCTACATTAAAGGAAAGCAACATAAACAAAGCTTTGAAGTTGAAAGATCCTGGCGAGT